GCCTGTTGTTGCAACCACGGTGTCACTCCATCTCCTTGGGGTCTTCCTCTTTTGTACTGGCTCTCAACTTTACCAAGCCTGGTGTTCTTTTTCAGGGATTGGTTCATCCTGATAATACATACTAAGTATGTGAAACAAGATCAGTTCTTCATCTAGCTTCCTTATTCATTGTCCAGCTTTCACATGCATATGAGACAACTGAAAAGACCATGGCTTGGGCCAGGTGCATTCTAATCCTTATCACTTTAAAAAAGATCTTTGGAGCAGATTTGCTGAATGCAATATGTCATTTGATTTCTTGACTGCTGCTTCTGTGAGCATGGTTTGTGGAGCCAAGACAAACGAAATTCTTGACAACGTCAATCTTTTCTCCATTTATCATAGTGTTGTTTGTTGGTCAAGTTGTGAGGGATTTTGTTTTCTTGACATTGAGTTGTATTCCATATGAAAGGTTATAGTCTTTGATCTTCATCAGTAAACACTTCAAGTCCTCTTTGCTTTCAGCAAGGAGGTTGTATTATCTGCATATTGCAGTTGTTAACTGAGCTTTCCTCCAATCCTGATGCCGTGTTCTTCATGTTGTTCAGCTTCTCAAATGATTTGCTCAGCACACAGATTGAATAAGTATGGTGATAGGATCGAACCCTGGTGCACACCTTTTCCTGGATTTAATTCTCTCACTATCCCTTATTCTGTTCAAACTACTGCCTCTTGATGTCTCTTGTGCATGTCCTCTTGTGAACCCAGCTTGAATTTCTGGCAGTTTCCTGTCAGTGTTCTGCTACAACTGTTTTTGAATTGATGTTGTTGTTGTTAAGTGCAGTCAAGTCGGTTCCGACCCATAGCGACCCTGAACAGGGTTTCCGAGGCTGTAAATCTTGACAGGAGCAGAAAGCCTCATTAGATCAAGCAAAATTTTACTAGCATGTGATATTAAATATATTGTTTGATAATTTATGCTTTTTGATATATTGGATCAATTAAAATTTTTTGGAATGAGCACAGATACGGGTATCTTCCAGTCAGTTGTTCACGTAACTTTCCTCAGCTTTCTTAGCATAGACTAGTGAGTACTTCCAGCACTGCATCAGATTGTTGAAACATTTCAATTGGCATATGGTTAATTCCTAGAACCTTGTTGTTTGCTAATGCTTTCAGTGTATCTTGGACTTCTTCCTTCAACGCCATTGGTTCTGGATCCTCTGCTACCACCTGAGATGGTTGAATGCCGATCAGTTCTTTTTGGTATAGTCACTTTGTGTATTCCTGCCATCTTCTTTTGATGCTTCCTGTATTGCTCAATATTGCAACCCAAGACTTCAATTCTTTTTCTTCATTTCTTTCAGCTTGAGAAATGCTGAGCATGTTCTTCCCTTTCGGTTTTCAACTCCAGGTCTTTGCACATTTCATTTTTATACTTGACCTTGTCTTCTCTGGCTGCCCTTTGACATCTTCTGTTCAGCTCTTGTACTTTCTCATTTTTTCCATTAGCTTTATCTACTCTATATTCAAGAATAAGTTTCAAAGTCACTTCTGACATCCTTTTTGTCTTTTCTTTTTTACCTGTCTTATTAACGGCCTTTTGCTTTCTTCATGTATGATGTTCTTGAGGCCATCCCATAACTCCTCTGGTGTGTTCTTAAGATGGTCTCTAAATTCAGGTGGAATATACTCAAGGTGGAGTCCTGGTGTGGTGCTGCGGGTTAACGCATTGGACTGCAAAGTTGGTTTGAACCTCTAGGTTGGCGGTTCAAGCTCACCAGCCGGTCCTCAGAAAACCTATACAGGGTTGCTATGGGTTGGAATTGACTCGATGGCACCTAACAACAATATATTCAAGGTCATACTTTGGCTCTCTCCTGAGCTTGTTTTAATTTCCTTCGGCTTCGGCCTGAGTTTGCATATGAGCACAGTCAGCCCCTGACCACCTTCTGCCTGATGATTTTGAGCATCTCTATTGTTTCTTCCTACAGCTATAGGCCATTTGATTTCTGTGTTTTTTTATCAGTGAGGTTCACATGATGGTGGTGGTGGTTATGTGCCGCGGAGTCGATTCTGACTCGTAGCGACCTTGTACAGGGTTTCCAAGGCTGTAAGTCTTTACGGGAGCAGAAAGCCTCATCTTTCTCCCGCGGAACAGCTGGTAGTTTTGAACTTCTGACCTTGAGGTTAATTAGCAGCCCGACTCGTAACCACTACACTACTAGAGCTCCTTCACATGTGTAGTCACCGTTTATATTGTTGAAAATAGTAAGTATTTGCAATGATAAAGATACTGGGCTTTCACAGTTCTACCATGTTATCTCCAGCAGGCTTTCTGTCACCAAGGCTGTATTTTCCAAATGTTGATCCTTCCTCTTTGCTTGTGACTTTCACATTCCAATCACCAGTGCTTCTTGATTGCATGTTAAGCAGTTTCATCCTAAAGAAATTGGTAGAATTCTTCAGTTTCTTTATCATTGCTATGGCGGTTGGTGCTTAACTTTGAACAATAGTTGTATTCACTGGTCTTCCTTGTAGATATATAGATGTTATCCTATCACAGACAGCATTATACTTCAAGATAGATCTTGAAATGTTCTTTATGACAATGAAAGTTACACCATTCCTCTTGAATTTGTCATTCCCAGCACAGTAAACCAGGATTGTCAGATTCAAAGTGGCCAGTTCCTGTCCATTTTAACTCACGAGTGCCTAGCATGTGGATCTTTATGTGTTCCATCTCATGTTTGATGATTTCCAGTTGTCTTAGACTCATAATTTGTCCATTCCATGATCTCATTATTAATGGATATTTGCAGCTGTTTCTTCTCATTTTGATTTGTGCACCATCAGCAAATGAAGGTTCTGAAAGCTTTGCTCTATCCATGCTTTGAAGTTGACTTTACTTTGAGGAGGGAGCTCTTCCCCAGTCATAGTTTGAGTACCCTCCAACCTGAGGGGTTCAACTTTGGGCACTGTATGTGACAGTGTTCTACTGCTATTCATAAGGTTTTCAGTGGCTAGTCTCTCAGAAATGGACCATCTGTTCCTTCTTTCTAGCATGTTCTTAGTCTGGAAGCGCTGCTGAAACCTGCCCACAGTGAGTGACCCTGCTGGTGTTTGAAACACAAGTTGGCATAGCTTCCAGTGTTAGCATCATGCAAGCCACCACAGTACGACATACTGACAGACAAATGCGGGTGGATTTGGCTTAGGGTTACATATATTTGGGCAATATACCATTGTTTTTCTCCCTTTATTTCTCCCTCCCTCTCTCTTAAAACTTAATGTTATTATGCGTTATGACTAAGGAAAAGAAAAATAAGTCTATCTTCTCAATTTTTCTTCTCAGGGTTTTCAGGCTAGATGCAAGGCGAGTCATTCCCTGGAGTGGTTCTCAAGTACCTGTGGCAGAGTCAGCTCTCTTGTTACATGTCTGTACCTTTCAGCATTCTGCCATTTTCACTGAAAGCAGACAGCTGGACTCTTTTGCTACTGCCTTTATCCTGTGGCCTGGCTTACTAGAACCTTCCAGAAGATTTTCACAGGGCGTATATGAGCTCAGGTTCAAGATCATTTCCTGGAACCTAGAAGGAGGCATAGATTTCCAGAGGAATTTAATTGTCAGCTCCTCCTGAAGTAGATGAATAGGATGAGCCATTTAAATTGAAATAATCTTATTATGACACTCTTCACAATGGGTTTTAGGTTATCCTGCCCTTGTGCTTAATAACAAGGTTCTGTGAGGCGTGTAACCCCGATGTGCAAAGTAGATAATCTGGCTATTAGCTGACGAGAAATCAGGGACAATCTGTTTATGAATAGAGGTGCCCCTTGCTCCATTAGTTTGCCTCCTCTTAACATGAACAAGGCATCCCAGTTGCACATGTGGAGATTCCCAATCCCAGAAGTCAGTATTACCCCTAGAGGAAACCCCTCATTTAGTGTTCAGGGTTATAGGGTAGAATTGCACCGTAGGGTTTTCTTAGCTGCAATTCTCACAGACGCTGATGGCCAGACCTTTCTTCATGGTGCCAACTGGTGGGTTCAAACCACAACTCTCAGGGTTAGTAGCTGAGAGCAAACTGGTTTGCCCAACCAGTGTAAATGTGAACACATGTAACAATTTGTCTTTGAGACACAATCTTCTAACTGATTCTGCTGTTGGTATTTTCTAGCATCCCACTAGAATTGACAATTTCTATAGTTCTTTTGAAGTTGTTGTTGTTAGGTACCATCGAGTCAGTTCCAACTCATAACAACTCTGTGCACAACAGAACAAAAACACTACCCCATTCTGGGACAACCTCACAATCATACAATCATAGCTTCATTTGAGCCCCTTGCTTCTGCCACTATCCCAGTCCGTATTGCTGGGGGTCTTCTTCTTTTTCTCTGACCCTCTACTTTACCAAACATGATAGCCTTCTCCAGTGGCTGGTCCCTTCTGACAGTATGTCCGAAGTATGAGAGATGAAGCCTGGCCATCCTGGCTTCCAAGGAGCACAGATCTATTCGTTCCTTTGGAGTAACAAATAAAGAGATCTGCTTCCTGTTTAAGCATACACGAACAAGAAAGCATTTTTATAAACAAAATCTTCCTTTTCCCTCTTCAGTTTGTCTTCTTTAGATGGCACTCTATGACTAACTGAAGATTGTTTGGACTTTGTCCAATAGAAAATTAATAAAGTCTTTTGTAAACAAACATTTGCAACCCTATAATTAATAATGAATTTTGAGTGTTCTAACCCTATTCTGAAAGGGGGTTGTGTGCTGCTAAGTCAGTTCAGACTCATAGTGACTTTGTATAGGGTTTCTAAGGCTATAAATCTTCACAGAAGTAAAAAGTCTCATTTTTTCCCCACAGAATGGCTGGTAGGTTCAAACTGCGGACCTTGCAGTTAACAGTCCAACTTGCCACCCGCTTTGCTACCAGGGTCCCTTCCATAAAGAGGGTACTGGGGGGTGAAAAATCAAAGAGGTCATGGTAATAACATTAACTATTTTGGGACATTTAGGAACCTGTTTTATTCACTGGAACAATGAGAAAAAACCTGGATCCCTTTAATGAACACACAGATGAAGAACTGTGGAATGCCTTACAAGAGGTAATTTATAAAATGTAATTATCTTTAATGTGTTAGTACCAGGATAGATGCATGTATGTTTACAACATTGCAGGTAATTAATGGGAGTTTATTGGTTTCGCTATGTTCACCACCAAGAAGAACATTGATTACAAGAAAGCGCTTCAAATATACATTTGATGCTGACGCAAACAATCAATAAGATGCCTCATGGTTTGTTTGTTTTTTTCACTTTCTTCTTAGAATCCAAAGCAACTAGATGCATTATCTTATTTGCCATCAACAGTGCAGTAAACTTGGTGTTAGTTTATAGTCTCAGATTCTACTAGCAACTAAGTTATCCTGCAAAATTGACTGCCTTGTTAGGGAAGATTTCTGAAGTGGAGACTATAATCGTTTTCCATTGGTACCCAGCCGATCAATGAGACCATGCTTATGAAACACCTTGAAGTTTTATAAGGAAGTGTTTTAGGTGTACATCACATTAGAATATAATCATGTGTATTTTGTTGGCATCCAGGTAACCATTAATACTACAAACTGAATGAATGCAGGTAACAACTTTAGAATTTTTGTTTAGCCTTGGTACAGATCTCTGTGTTTCTAGAAGCTTTTCTCTGTGTCTGTGTGGTGGTTCCCTTTGGACCACTTTTTTGAATTTCCTCGTCCCTTTATGAAAAGGATTTGATGCTATTGGTGTGTATATTTTAACATTAATTATTTTGTGTATTCATCCTGGTTCTGCAAATTAATTCTAAGCCACTTAATGGCAGAAATAATATTTTAGACTTCTAATCCCTCCTAGGGCCTAGCTCAGTGTTTGAACTTTAGTAAGCTCTTAATAAATATGTATTTTTCATATGATTGATCTCTTCATTTCAGAGCAGTGTGGCATACTCCTTTTAAAAAATAAGATTCACAATTCACAGCAATCCGAGCAATCAGTTCCTTGCCACAGTTACGTTCTTCTGAATCCGTGTCATTTAGTGCCAGGCTTTCAGCCTTTATCTTATAGATGAGTCTCAGCTAGGAGCCACCAGGATTGGAAGCCACGTAGTTTCCTGCCAATAATTCTTGTTTGCTGGAGGTGTGTCAGTGCTTAGTTTTCACACATCCACCCTGCTTTCCAGTAACTTTGGGGGTTTCATTTTCTTACATTGGATTGACTACATCACCATATTCTGCTGGAAGATGTGTTGTGAGTCTTTTCACAGTGACATTCCAGGGGAGGGGCAGGTAATCGTCACATTTAAGGGAGATTAGGTGATACCTGCTTTTGAGCTCAACTGAGTACATCGAATAGTAAAATTGTGACACACCTTAAAAGAACAGGAATGACTGGTAATTTATTTTCCTATTCTCAGAGCCTGAGATTTCTCTTCATCAGCTCTCAAAGAGTAAAATTACTCTAGAGACATACACTTCCTTTGTCAGTGATGAAGTAAGAACTTGTTAACTGGGAGACTGTCTTGTCAGTGGAGTCCTGGTGTGGCATGGCAAGATAATGCGCTAGACTGCAAAGTCAATTTGAACTGCAAGGTCAGTGGTTCAAACCCACCAGCCACTCCTTGGAAACCCTATACAAGGGTCACTGTTGGTCAGAACCGACTCAACGACACTTAACAACAGCAATAATCTTGTCAGTGGATTCCTGATGTGGCACTGTGGGTTAATGTGCTGGGCTGCAAATTTGGTTTGAACCACAGGGTTGATAGTTCACCAGCTCACCAGCTGCTCCTTGGAAACCCTTTTCAGGGTCTCTATGGGTTGGAACTGACTTGGTGACACTTAATTAATAACAAAATCTTGTCAGTAACTATCTTAGAACTTGTCTGTCACTTACACGTCCTGATGTGGCACTGTGGAATCAAGCACTGGACTGCAAGGCTGATTTGAGCCACAGGATCAGTGGTTCAAACCCAACAGCTGCACCTTGGAAACCTTATACAGGGTTGCTATGAGTCAGAACTAACTCAACGACACTTAACAGCAACAGCAAGATTAAAAAAAAATTATGAGCTTGTCAGAATTCTAAAAATAATGAGGTAATGAAATGGTTGTTGTTAGTGCCATCAAGTCAGTTCTGATTCATTGTGACACTCTATAGGGGTTTCTGAGGAGCAACTGATGGATTTGAACCACCGATCTTACAATTAGCAGTTGAATGTTTGTCCTGCCATGCCACACCAGGAGTCTGGTGGAAGTGGTTGTTGTCGTTAAGTATAGGGTTTTCCAAGGAGTGACTGTTGGGTTTGAACTGCCAACCTTGTGGTTCACAGTTCAGTGCTGATCCTACTACATGTGGAGCTCCCTGTAAATAAAAAGGAAATCCTCTGAAAACAGATTATAAAATGAGTGGTTTCTATGTATTATAAAACTGACCTTATTAATTATACCTCCTAAAGTGGAAAATTATCCAATGATTGTGTTCATCTAACAATTTTTTCTTTATGACTTTACAGTATCATATAGCTTCCATTTGGGCGGTGTCTGACCGCATAACATCCGTGGTCTCAGAAGGTTATAATAGAGTTCAACTATCCCAATCAGCGAATGGATCTTGGCAAACATGACCACTTTCTACACACATGTGTGTCTCGTGTGTGTTGTAGACAAAGCGATTGTGCTGAAAGCATATAATGGCACAATGCGTACATAACCTCTTATACATACATCTGGATAGTCATAATAAGTACTGGTGTTACTAGCTTATGTATGTACTGTGCTGGCCTTTCTATCTAAAACGTTTACCATGTGACAGTGTATGCTTCGGCTCCTAGGCAGCAGCATCCAGTTGCCCGTATCACTCATTTCTTGTAGCGTTATCTCCCAGTTTTTCTGTAGATACTATCACCATGAAGTGCTCCATGGCTCCCAAAATACAGCAAAACCAGTGCTGGTAACGCAGCAGCAAGAGGCAAAAAGGAAAGTATAGATTTGGAAGTGAAACAAAAGGGTATCAAACAATTGTTGTTACGTACCATCGAGTCAGTTCAGGTCCTGGTGTGGCACTGTAGGATAAGCTCTCCACCGCAAGATCAGTTTGAACCACAAGGTCAGAGGTTCAAACACACCAGCCTCTACTCAGAAACCCTGTACAGGGTCACGTCAATAACAGATGGGGTTTACAAGTCATGGCTAGTGGGTTTGCACCATTGACCTTGCAGTTAGTAGTCCAATGCTTATCTTAAATTACCGTACCAGGGTTCCATCTGAAGATGGAAAATCATTGAATGCTATTGCATAGGATTAAGGTTATAATGATGATCTTTAAAAGCAAATAATAAATTCTCAAGCTCTTAAAGGCTAATGAATATGTGAGAGGGACCTATATCAGATATGGAGAAACTGCTAATGATACACATTGAAGGACCGAACACAAAAACGAATCCCTCTCAGTATGTCGATGATCACTGCTAAAGCAGGAAGGTGAGAAAAAGCGGGACCAAGCTCCGAAATGCTGTTCTCATAATGTCCAAATCACATCACAGTTCTCAGAATGTGTCATGGATGTTAAGAAGCCCATGACTGTATGTTTTTCAGTAAAAAATTTGGTGGTGGTGATTGTTCAGTGCCATTAAGTTGGTTTCAACTCATAGCGACCCTGTATAGGGTCTCTGAGGAGCCAGCTGGTAGTAGGTTTGAACCGTCAACTTTGTAGTTGGCAGTCCTGTGATTATCCTGCTAGAATACAGCCTTGTACAAGGGGGTTTCAAAAAGTTCATGGACAAATCCCATTATTATTATTATTATTTTATGTTCAAGTTCACCAGCTAGTTTGTTTTTGCTTTTTTAAGTTTTTATTGTGAATTGAGTGATAGTTTACATGGGAGAACATCAACATCACACCATTGTTTAATTGCATTGATTACAATCTCCTCCGTGCATCATCACTCAACAGTATTTGCTTCCATTCCCTTTTTTTTTTTGGTGGTGGTGGGGGGAGTGTACACAGAAACACTCAGGAATATATAATAATTTAAACAACCAAAGAGCACATTCTATAAGCTTGCCTCCTGGCCACCAGTAGCCAGTCCCTGTCTTTCCATGAGTCCGGAGTCCTCAGTCCTCAGCTGCTCCCTCTCTCCATGTCCTCATCTCTGCCTCCATCTTTGGTGTCGCTGCTTCTCTGTATAGGGTCCCACACCCCACTTGTGCTCTTCTCCATCGCCATCCTTACTTTTTTTTTGAGAAGGTAACCTTAATTTTAGGGTCAGTTATTACCAGCTGCTCCTCGGAAACCCTGTACATGGTCGCTATGAGTCGAACTCGACTCAGCGGCACTTCACAACAACAACATAGTCACAAAAGGTTACATTTATTCTACTATCTCTATTTTTTAAAATCAAGATAATCAGTAATAAAGAAAATGTTTATGGTTAAACTTGGTGTTGTTGTTAAGTGCCGTCAAGTCAGTTCCAACCCATAGCGACCCTGTACAGGGTTTCCGAAGGTGTAAATCTTTATGGGAGTAGAAAGCCTCATCCTTCTCCCGCAGAGAAGCTGGTAGTTTCGAACCGCTGACCTTAAGGTTCGCAGCCCGATTCGTAGCCATTCCATAATCAAGCTCTTTTAGGGGTATCAGGCGTAAAGGAGAAAACAACATGAAATGGTGCACATAGTTCAGTTTCTATAGAGCTATGCTGGGATTTTCCTTTAAAAAAAAAAAAAAAAAGTCTATGAAAAGTGTTGTGGGAGGGGCAAACAAGAAACACTGTAAAAGCCAGCTAGTGCTCACAGGTGAAGACCCTTCCATTTCTCTTTCGCTAATTTTTGCATCCCAGTTCACTCTATTTCCAGTCAGTAGCCCCGAGAGGCTGCCATTTCCACTCCCTAAAGCACAGATAAAAGCCCTGCTGGGAATAGGTCTGGGTTTAAACAGTTGATCCTAAGGAGAGTACTAGTTGCTCCATTATCTTTTAATTCCATTTTCCCACGAACTTTCTGAAGCCCACTTGTATTCACAGTATAATTTTAGCAGGTTGTAATCATACACCGTTCTGAAACCTGTTATATAAGAA